AATAATAATAATAATAATAATAATAATAATAATAATAATAATAATAATAATAATAATAATAATAATAATAATATATAGCTGGCAAGAAAATGCAAACAAACAAATTATTTCAGCATCAGCAGAGCTGGCACGGCCAATGTACTGGATCATATCAATTTCGGATGCTTCACACTTGATATAATAGGATCCAGTTCCGTAATTGCCTTCTACATCTTCCCCATCCTCATGATCCAACTTGCATAGTGGGCATAATGACTCAGAATTAATTCCATAATAATAATAATCGACACCTTCATTACTATATCCATAAAATATATCGGGATATTGCTCTAATGTCTTATTACGAAAATGAGTACGGTCATGGGTTGGATTAGATGGGTGCATTTACCTTAGTCTCCGGTAAAGAATTATCTTTCTCGTTTATCATATTTCCTGAATTAGAGGTATTTGATACGTAATAGTAAATGGCTTAGTCGTGTGCGCGTTACAATTTGTAACGCCGATCATTTTTTTGCATTTAACCGAAGAGTCATAAATTTTTTAGGAAAACAAATTATAATATCTTGAACCTGATTGTCAGTTAAACTCGAGATTGCACTTGCGCTACATGTGATTGCATGGATTTTTTCTATCCCTATTCCCACAAATAACGCATAAATCTTTTTTGTTCTCTGACACAAGTTTACATCGGTGATATCTGGGAGAAGTGTTTTTATCTCATTATATACCAATGTCCTTGCTGATTGATCATTAATTTTATTTATACGTTGACTCGATCCTCATATGCTTTATAACAGTAATACCAACATAAAATCTCTTTTTGTCTAACTTTCATTGCTATAATAAATAAGTCAACTATATTTTGTGCTGTAATTGTGCTAGATTGTTATAATTACTTCTAACGAGAATTCAGGAATTGTATATCAAATATATCACTAATAATATTATTATTTCTTTAATAAATACAAATAAATCGTACCTTAAGTCTTGCTCGACTCTTTTATTATATGGAAACTGAACATGGTTATCAGTTATAAGAAATTACGACACAACGAGAAATACTATGATACGAATAATAATGATCTACAAATTATAAAATCATTATTTTTTAGTTTCTGATCTCAACTTTTTTTGAGGGGACGTGTTCGGAGTATTGTTTGAAAATGAAAATATGTCTTCTTGATACGAATAGTTACGTTTTCGTCTTAATCTTGCATGCAAAACCTTAAGATACGAGCAATAATTCGTAAGATCGTTCAATCGGTGCTGTAAAATTAAATTGATAAGCATGGTGATATGTATATTAGCAAGGAAGCAAATAAATAACAAACCTCTAAGGAACGCAACATCACATGAACTGATTCATATGCAGATAGCTCTTGAGTTGATGCAGGCAAAAACACTTTATCTATCATCCCGAACCGATATATTCCATATGCCCGAACATCCATTGCATAAAGGTTGATCTGCAACCCTGCAATACAAATATATACTTTATTAATAATCTTTTAAAAATATTTATATGTTCATCCTGAAAAATTACCTATTACTTGACATCCAAATACGACAATTTTCATATAGTCTTCAGGTAATAACCCAGGAAACGTCTTTATTATTCGATTGATCATATCACGCATTCCAACCATTATTTTTAATTTGTCGGTCCAAATTTTCTTAGGACATCCTGCTGGAAGTCCACCTGAAACTTCGCATATAAAACCTTCTAAGGCTGGTCCTGTTGGCAAAGTAATAGTTAAATCCGTTCTCTGACCCATACGAGCATGATCATCATTAGGATCTTGGTCAACTCTACGTCTTTCTTGACTAGCTACTAATTGTTGCTCACACCTCCAAAAAATAAAATGTTAAAATAAAATTTATAATTAATAACACATAATCTGAACCTTGAAGAATTACCATAGTTTTCGAAACTTCTTCTAATTTTGATCAATGCTCACTCTAAAAGCAGGGGCAACAAAGTGAATCATGAGCTCCCCTTCATTAATCGGCAATTTAAGATGCTCAAGGTATGCTTTTAGTATTGTCATGTGCGCATGTAATATTGGTACCCTTTTTTGTGCATCAGGATCCTATTCAATAAAAGTTTTATATCATTAATAAAACGAATCAAAGATAATAACTAAACTGTTGTTGTTATTACCTCAATATTGTCAAAAAAGTTTGTTTCGAACTGTTCAAGTTCAACCATACTCCATGCAATGTCTGATTTAAAATTATTTACAAGTTCGTTCCATTTTTTAATTAATTTTTTTTTTGTTGGCCTGTGTTGTCCCGTTAAATCCAGTACGCCCCAATATTGTGGGCTTCAATAGAAAAAGACAAAGTTCGTTAACAAATTCTCATGCAAAACCATTATGCAAAAATACTTACTGGACTTCAGGGCTCTTTTTGGGTAACGAATTACGTAAACAATTAAAAACTTTCAAAATGTCAAAATTATCTATTATAAAAGAGTCCCAGGTAGTGACTATTGGAATTGTAGATGTTGATGATGCTGTTATTGGTTCTTCTTCTCTTCCAATGTAAGATAAATTTACATTATTAACAAGACTGTCAAAATAATCAGGATCTTTTATGTAAGTTGATTTATTGTCAGAAATATTTTCATCATCAGTTGTATCTTTGTTATCATCGTTATCACTTGGAGCATAATAGGTATTTTCTTGTATTTCGGAAGGAATTGGTTGTGGTGCCTCTGTTCCCGATGAGACAGAAGGTTGTAAAAAAGTCCGGAGACCGTTTGTATGTGCAACAACATTAACCGATTCCTGAAAGAAGACCAGAACAATGTGAATGTTCTTACTTGTTACAATATAACTTTGGATGCATATTAATGTACCTTAACCACAGAATTAATGATTTTCTTTTTTTCAAGATTCATTTTTGCATCAAAAAATTCCCGACACGACTGTATAATGGCCTTTCCACACAACGACTGTAATAATAGAAAATCTGAGCTAAATTCAACCTAGTATCAATAAACGCAAAGAAAAACATCAAGAATACCTTTAACCATTTTACATAATTAGCACAAAACCCTCGTATTGATAATGGAATGGAAAGTATTTTGTTTATATTTTCGGGGCTTTCTATGAAACTGGTGAGTAGTTGATCGAAGGTGAGATCACTGTCTGGACCTTCGATTATTCTATTGATATAGATCCCCAGCGACCACTTAGAAGCTGGTAAATCCATAAAGAAATTGTCGACGTTGTATGTCTTCAGTGGAACGAAAAAATTAGAGAACTTGGATCCTCCAACTCTTGGCTCAGGTTTAGATGGCATATTGGAGAGAACGCGAATTCGAGAACAATGTTTTATTGGTTGATAATCAGTGATGGCGAAAAAAAAGGGCAGTCACATGATTAAGACTGCAGTATGATTGGGTCGTACGCAAACCGATTACACTTTATTATTATTGATCGTTCGCGTGGTTACTAGCTTTATAATCTATCTAATTTAAGTAAAAAGCAAGTCTTGAATTGTGGTGGGTTCCACGTTCGCTGTTGCGTTCTAGCTCTTAAAGCCTCACACTCCTGTGTTTCGTTCATTAAGACTTGTATCACCCAAGTATAAGCGATCAAATCTACTCTTCGAGGCATACTATTCACTAAATTATTGATCACGTTATTATGTATTTGGCCCCAGCGCAGCAAACAGTTCTGCCTTATTTTTTGGTTTTACTTTATCTCTTCTAACACTCCTTTCTAATTCATCCCACAAATGTTCTATCAGATTAAGGTCAGGACTCTGGGAAGGCCACTCAAGCGAATCAATTAATTTCGACTCTTTCCATTTAACTGTTGACTTC